ACGAGCCCCTTTAGCCCGGGGGCAATGGCACATGCCTATATTCCCAGCACTCTGGAGGTAGAGAAGGGCAGGTCTTTGTGAGTTCAAGGTCAGCCTAATCTGCATAATGAGTCTGAGGACAGCTAAGGCTGTGTAGAAAGACCCTTTCTCAAATGCCTCCTCCCCCAAGAAAAAGAGGAGGAGCAGGAAAGAAGGAAGGGCAAATTTCCTTGGATCAAACCCCAGCCCTTACTGCGTTCTAGACTCCTATATAAGACCCAATGATAACTTGGCTTTTAACAAGCTCTCTAGCTGATCGCTTGCACACTAAAGTGGAAGACCCGTGGTTCAGAAAGCTGTTAGAGTTCACAGTCAGAATGGCTTGGGTCTTTTGAAGCCAAGTCAGCAGAGTTCCCAATATGGCTAAGCTTAGTTTGTACAGACTAGCCTGGATCTGAGAGGAAGCAGCAGGCAAAACATAAATGTAGAGTGGGTGGGGGTCTGTGAGAAAGCTTCCATGAATATGGAGAAGAGAGAGATGTGTTCAAGACTACCTGTAATTACAGTACTTGGGAGACTGAGGCAGAACAGGATACTGATTGGGTGTTAGGCTATCCTGGGTTAAATAGAGTTCCAGGCCAGCCAGGACTAATATGTGACTGACACCCCCACTCCACCCCAATCAAGACTAACAGCCAATCCACAGTTCTGAATTTATCTATATCACATAAGGAGGTTCTGCAAGCCCATAATAAGGAAGTTTTTGCCCCCAAATCCACTCAGGAGTAGTTAATGGGGACTGGTAGTGGGCCTTGGCCTCGGCATCTTGGTTCTCTGTGCTCTCTAACTCATAACGTGTTTCCACATTGTCTTCCATTTCATTCCCCTCTGGTCACCTTGGAGGAACCAGTGTGATCTGCTTCCAATCCTGTACACCAGTAAAAGGCCTGTGGGCCAGCCTCACACCTACAATGTACCCCACTAGGTCCTCCTTAAGTCCCCAGAACCACTGAGATGTCATGTGTGGCAAATTTGCAGTCATTACCATTAGCTCCCATTGTTCTGTATATACCCATTGAGTTCCACTTCTTTTCACCAGCCTATGAAAATGCACAGTCGGGGCCTTTTGGGGAATCTCTGCTGGGTCTGGGGTGGGGCAAGTGAGTCTCCACCAAAGTTTGTGTTTTCTGTCACTCCCACTTTGAACGTATTCATCAGGTGACCCAGAGGAAACCTCTCCCCTAAACCCTTCCCAACTCCATCCCTAATCTCAGGGCTAATCCCTAAAAACAAGTCTGGAAAGGGTTCTGGAGGAATTGGTTCCAATGGTATTGACGAACAACTTGGTAACTCAGAAATGATTTGCTGGTGACAGTCTGTAGTCAGAGTACTTATGAGACAGAGTATTTGGGACTAAGATATGCTATTTCCTCCCGTTTTCCTTTTGCTTGGGTGGCATGAGAGAGCTGACAGCAGGGGGCACTATACTCCACCACACTGCAAGCCTGGGGCACTCAGGCTTCACGTTCCCAGAGTCTAACAGCCTATGAGACAGAGACTTCTTGCTGCACTGACTTTATCGGGAAAAGGAGACGTCAGCAAATAGTCACAAAACTGTCTAGCAATGGGACAATTGGAGTTAATTAAAACTTTTCTGCAGCCTTTGTTTGAAACTTAAATTCCACCAGTAACATTCGGTGTCCTTGGCGTGTGTGCACACTTATTTGCATTTGAGCATGTGTGCTCAGGCTAGTCTTGAACTTTGGATTCAAATGGTCCTCCTGCCTCAACCTCTTGAGGAGCTGGCTATCATGCCTGACTTTTGTGATTCAATTTTAGGAAGGAAGACTAAAAAATACTATGTGTATATATAATAAGAGGTGACCACCCCAAAAGGAGGGTCATGTGTGTTCCATACTGAGAGGGGACTCTGAATGAATTAAAAGGCCTTGCCTTCCAGGTAGGTTTCACATTTGGGGACAACAGTGTAGGAAGTCTAGCTGGGACTGGAAGGGCCTAAATAGTTGACTGCAAGACTAGAGAGGCCACCTTGGCTTACTTGTTCTTTGAGTGGCATTACTGATGATGTTTGTCCACAGGGTCTGGGAGCGCTACCATGGACTGTAGGCAGAGTCAAAGGGCTGGGATGCACTGAACTTTCGCTATGGCAGACAAACACCCAGTAATACAATGGGCTAGCTTCCAGGGAATAGAAGAGTTAGATTAGACCCCTGGGAATACTGCCCGGCACTCACAAGGCCACCAAGTACTAGAAAGGGTATATGCTGACCAATGGGAGCTAACAGTAGTAACAGTAAAACAGAGGCATTTGACTAAAACTGTTTTAATTGTATTTTTAAAAATTATGTGCACACGAATGCAGGTGCTCTGGGAAGAGGCCAGAAGAGTGTGTTGGCAGATCTCCTGGAACTTGAGTTATAGACAATTGTGAACTGCTCAACAGGATGTAGGAAACTGGTTCTCTGAAAGAATGTATGTGCTTTTAACCTCTGAGCCATCTTTCCAGCCCCTATTTAATTCTTAGGATGGTACTATGACTTATTTATTATTCTCCCTTAATTAACTTTTTAAGATGAACGTGGAAAAAATATTGGGATTCTAAGGGCCATATAAACAGAAGAAAGTCACTACTTCACACTTGGTCACCTGTTCTGTTTCTAGTTCACAAAGATCATCTGGTGATGTCCTGTTTGCATCTTTCTAAAGGTGTTCTGTACATACACAAGTATAACATACATTTCTCTACATACATGCTGGATACAGTATACATACATTCTCACTCTATCTAGAGATTAGTTCATATTAATATAGAGCTACACTTCATTTTGCAAGAGTTGCCAGATGCAGGATATATGACCCATCATTTACTCAGATTCCCATTAACAGACATTGGTCCTGTGTGTGTGTGTGTCTCATGTAGCCTAAGCTAGCCTCAATCTTGCAATGTAGCCAAGGAACTCCTGATCCCCCTGCCTCCACTCCCCTAGTGCTGAAATCAGATCCCCTGCCACTGTATTTGGCTTGTTAACAGACACTGGGCAGTTTCCAACCTTTTGTTAGCATAAGAGTCATGCCACAAATGACTTCCTTAGTGTCTCGTATTTTTAATTAACTTAAATTGTAAAACAGAAACAGTAAACGTACTTACAGTCAAGTGACATTTGAGTGTATCAAGGCTCATTATTAAAAATCATCTTAATTTTTGTATGTAAAATTTATTTTATTTATCTATTTATGTGAACCAGCAGGTTTAGTTAGAGTTACTTACAAGAACAAGGCTGAGGGTTTATTTACACGGGCATGAGCAACTTACCATTGGTCGTACCACTGAAGAAAATGTCTCTACCCCAGCAACCATTAACTGCTGAGAGTCTCAGGGAGAGGTAGGCTTCAGGAGTTTTTATATAAAAATATGCCCCTCCCTCGAATTCTAACTCTGTAGTCCAGGATGGCCCAGAACTCCCTGTGCAGCAACCCTCCTACCCTCAGCCTTGTGAGTGCTGGGATTACAAGCCTGGTTTTATGTAAAAATTAAACCAGGCCAGGTATAATAGTCCATGCCTTTATAGTGCAATCCCAACACCTGGAGGCAAAGGCAGGCAATCTTGGTGAGTTCCAGGCCACCCGGTCTCAAAAATTAAAGTAAAATAGTGTATGTAGCTATTTCTGGTAGATATTACTGCTTGAGATCACAATGACTTGGACTAAATGTATAAGACGTTTTTGCTGAATGAATGGGCAACTGAATGACCCCTTTGCTCTGCTCCAGTAAGAAGAAATATGTGCTTCCCGTCAGTCATAATGAACACCTTCCAAGGAAACAGGTTGAAGCAGAAAGCGCACGCATGGAGTTTAGAAGGCTGGGCAATTGTAGTCGATTGCCTCAGAAACCCTTACGGAGTGAGAGCAGCAATACCGTTTTGCTGTTTTTTTAAAGGTCGAATCTTCGCTGATTTCAGCGAGCGGATTAAATCTAGACATTTTCCCAGGCTGTAGGCACTCAACAAATACTAGTTACTCTCAGTCTGTGTCAGTACCGAATGAATGGAAGCGAAAAAGCCTGCCAGGAAGCCTTCGCGGGTCGTGATTCTGCGGCTCCTGTCTCGGGGACAGGTCTGGAGCCTCCTAGGAGGGAGAGAGGAACACACGGAGCCGTGTCCTCACGTTCTGGCTCCGCGGAATCCGCATGGCCGGGAGGGTAGGTGTGTCTGCCTCCTTCAGGCAAGAGCCGCGCCTGTTACCTGCGACAGGACTCCCCAACGAGGGACAGCGAGCTTGGCGGCACCCGGGGGTTCCCGTGTAGACAGACGAACAGACCCAGAGGGGACCAGGGAAGCTACGTTGAAAACGATGAGGGAGGACCCCACCGACAGAACGGTTAGTCCTGCAGGCCCGCACCTGGCGGACTGACCCGGGCGACCAGAACGAGCGCGCGTGCACACTGGCACGCGCACGCGTTCCAAAAGGGGGCGGAAAAAAGTCCTCCTCCCTCGACCCCCGCCCCGAGGGGGACCCGCATCCCTCCAGGCCCGAGTCCGCCGGAGAGCGCGCGTGCGCGAGGGCGCGCCGCCGCCGTCCCGCTCCGCCCGGCGCTGAGGGGGGTCTAGCGCACAGCTCCGGTCTTCCCGCCCCTCCCCAGGCTCGCAGGCTCCGGGGGTAACAGACTCCCGCCCTGTGGAGGAGAGGGACGGCAAAGGTTCCCCGAGCAGAAGGAGAAGGCTGATGAGGCTGGGAAAACGGAAAAACCGGTCGAGCAGGGTGAAGAGCGAGGCTCGCGGGCTGGAGCCCGCACAAGACACGCCTCCCTGCCTCACGCCCCTCGGGGCTGCGGAAGTCCTCCGGAGACTGGAGCTGCACCGAAGCGTCTTGTAGACTACGAGTCCCAGAAGGCGGTGCAGCGGTTCGCCTACGACTCCCGGCAGCCCCCGCGCTCCAGGCTCGCTTCAGCGCGCTGCTTCTCAGGGAGAAACTACAGTTCCCACGAGGCCTCGCGCGAAGCGGCTTGGAAGTGGGCAGCCTGGAAGTCACTCGGGCCACTGGAGCTGGCGGCGTCTCTAGCGAGGCGCGCGGTGCCGGACGCCGCGGTCGAGGAGCCCGCGGGGCGTACAGCCCGGACGGCTAGGTATGTGGATCCCGGTGCAGGAGCAGTCTCGCGCAAGGGTGGTGGGGAATTGGTGGCTGCTCGGACCCCGAGGGTCAGCGCAGGCGGGTGACCAGGCGGATGGCCGGGTGTGGGCATCGGCTGTGAGGGGCGGCAGCGCCGGGACTCACGCCCTCCGTACCCGGCGGGACTCGTGCCCGCATGGCTCAACTTTCCAGACGTGCAACCCGGCACTGTAGGGAAGAGCTGGGAGTCCGGGAGCCGTGGGTGCACGTCCCAGCTCTGCCACTCTGGAGCTGCGGTCTGGGAAAACCGCGCCGAACCTCATTTTTGCCTTCGGTAAAACGGGAACGAGAATGTCTTTTGCTGGTAATTCTTTTGAGATGTTGAGATCTGGTGAATATGGCATTTCACACTGAAGATACTTATTACGGGTTTGCGTTATTGTTAGCTCCTGGAGAAATGAGCTGAAGACACTGTAGATTGCGTTGGATGCCAGTTAGTTGACCATGTGCATGTAAAGACCCGAGTCCACAGTTAACACTCAATGCAGGGTAGCTGCTGTTAACTGCGATTATTTTGATAAGAGCTTTTGCTTGTGAAGCAGAAAGATTTGCGTTCAAATTTAGGTTTTGCCATAGCTAGCTGTGTGACCTTGGGCAACTAACTTCACCCCTCTGTGCCTTAGTTTCCCTCTCCATGCCTAAATATAAAATGGAGAGTTCAGTGGAAGCGGCCTCACAGAGCTGTTTTGAAGATGTATGAGAACACCCTGTGTAAAGTGCTTAGCGCAGCTGCTGGCACATAGCAGTCTGTAAATGCTGTCATTTATTCAGCATTTCTGGGTAACTTAGGGACCCTCTCTGAGTAGGATTCTGACTGTAGCATTGGTCTCCCCAGCAGGCCAGGTTCAACACTGGTCCAATTGGCTTTCCCTTCTGCAGACTTGGGTCCCTCATTTATAAAAATGGGACAATAGCAGTATTGCCCTGGTAAGGCTGTGGGGATTTGCTGAACACTAGGCTGAGCCCTCCCTCACTGAGTGGCAGTTCTTCTGCATTGTGATTGCTCTTCAGTGTTCTCCATCTGGCCCAGAGACTGCCTAACCGTGGGCTGTGACATGACAGCCCTGAGCTCCCCCACACCTTCGCTCCCAGCCTCAGTGTCCCATCTGTGAAATGGTAGTCATAGGACTTCTATGCCAGGATTGTTCTGATTCCAGGAGCTGTTTTGTGGTTAGCACAGAGCCCAAGCACTTGATGAACATACCTCTCTTTTTCTGCAGTAAGCCTTTCCTGGTTCAGTTTGTACCTATAGGGCAGAGTGCAAGGTTAGTGTCCCCGTCCTGAAAGTTTTCCTGGCAAAGGTTAAATTGTAGAACGTGTTTCAGCTTAAGGACCCGAGAAGAGACAGTGCTGACTTGCCATCAGCTCTGCTTGAACGCTTCCTCCTCCAAGTCAGTGTGTTCACGTCAGTTCTGTATTATTGTTGTTATTGTTGTTGTTATTGTTATTATTTGGTACTGAGGATGGAATCCAGGGCTTTCTGCATATTAAGCACTTACTGGCGTTTCCTTGATGTCCCATGATGGATGCTCTTGGGCATGTCCAATCTGAACTCTTTCTCCTCCTTGATCATGGCAAACTGGCCAACATTGACCCAGTTGCTCAAGCCAGTAACTCAGAAGTTGCTCGTCTTCCCCGGTCTCCCATATCCGGTTGATTGAGGAGAAGGATGGAGCAGCCATGTTACAGAAACATCACTTCACTAGGCCTAAGCTGGAGGTTTCCCTATCCCCTCTGAAGGTGGCCTTTTCTATTTGTTTTGAGACAGTGTCACAGGTAGCCCAGGCTGCCCTTAAATTCACTGTGTTGCTAAGGACAACTGAACTCCCCATCCTTCTGTCTCCAAGTACAGGGTTATAGGTGTGCATCACCATGGCAAGGGGGTCGGCTTTTCTGACAAGGTCCAGTTGCTTCTTTTAAGGCATGGAGAATGAACATTGTTGGGTACACATATGTAGCATGCGCAGTCGTGTGCTCCAGAGAAGACCGTGTGGATTTGGACCAACTGCGGTGGCTGCAGACATGTCAGGAAGGCCTGGGCTTCAGGCGACTCACTTCCGTGGTTTCTAACCTGCGAAAGACAAGCTGAGTTGATTGCACTCGGTCAATGCCTGAGAATATCCGGTGTGGGAAGGCAGCGCACACACACCACACACCGGGGAGAGGTTGGGAGGGAGCGTCCTGGGTCTCTGAGGCTTAATCTGTAGCACAAACCTGGCCTTGGGGTTTCATTTGAGGATGGGAAACTGTTCCTCATCGAATTTGTGATGGCCATTATAGTTGAGGGTTTCTTGTTTGCTTTTTGTGTTTTTAATCTGCAGAAGGATGGGCAGTGACTTAAAAAGCCCCCGGGGTTGTCTCCCTCGTAGTGACGACAGCAGATGGTTTTTAACCCTTGTGGGTAGAGTGGGTGAAGAGTTAACTGTGAGCCCGTTCTTCAGATGTTGCAGTTGTTAGGTGGGAAATCAAAAGCGGAGTGTAGAATGGGCAGAGATTGGTGCCTTTTCCAGCTGTGAACTATATTTGCCAGTGTTTAACTTGCAAACCTAACTTAAATGTCCTTACATTTTAATGAAAGAAAGCAGCATCATCTTCACAAGTGTTTGTTTTCAGCTGTTAGAACGAGAGGGGAGCTATCGGACCAATCTGTACATTCATTTTTTCTTTAGGATTGCTCTAGTCATGGTCTTAGTGTGTGTGTTGAGAGCATGGGGGGGTTGCATTTATGCAGACTGAGCATGGTGACACAACCTGTAATCCTAGCACTGAGAAGCAGAGACAGCCATGAGGATCAAGGCTAGCCTGGGCTCTCTGAGACGCCCCTGTCTCAAAACCCAGAGGATTCGAGACAAATAAGCTCACTGTAGCATGCCATGCAATGTGGAGGTATAGCAGGAAAACAGGAGTATCACCTTCCACTCCACAGTTCCACTTCCCTGGAAAAACCACTCATTTAGACTGTGAGTAATAAGTATCTAGCCTCGGGTTTTGGAGCTACCAGAGTGAACAAAATGGAGATGTCCTTGGCCGTGGTGATTTGGTTGTATGCTTCCTTGCATTTGTAAGTGTGTGTGTACTTATAGCTATCCATATTTGCTTATATCAGTTGTTTTCTTCTTCCTCCTCCCCTACCCCTTCCTAAAAAAAGGAAGAGTGGAGATTAAGCTATATATATTTGATGTCCAATCCACACTGCGTTTGTGTGAGACGGGGTCTCATATAGCCTAGCTGGCTTACATTTGCTATATAATGGGCTGGCCTTGAATTTCTGATTCCTCCTGCCTCTGCCTTCCAAGTACTGGGATTGCAGTGTGTGCCATCCTGCCTGGCTTAAGCTACATATACTTGTAACTTGGTTTTTTCAGTGGTGGTTGGACATATCCCTTCAAGTTGTTACATAAAGATCTGACTTATTTAACGACTGTGCCCACATTCTTGAAGATGGAGAGACCCTGCACAATTCTGCTGTTATATTGTTGGACATTGCCATTATGGCCAAGAGTTCTTTTACCTTAGCAATCACACTACCTTAGACCCAGGCAGTGTGGTGGTATTGTGTTCCCCAAAATATTGTGTACCCTAATAAATTTATCTGGGGTCAGAGAACAGACAGCCACTAGATACAAAGGCTAGAAAATGGTGGCACTCACACCTTTAATCCTAGCACTCCAGAGGTAGAAATCCCGCTGGATCTCTGTGAGTTCAAGGCCACATTGGAAACGGTCAGGCATGGTGACACACGCCTTTAATCCCAGAAAGCGAGCCTTTAATCCCAGGGAGTGATGGTAGAAAGGAGAGATATATAAGGCATGAAGACCAGAAACAAGAAGCATTTGACTGGTTAAGCATTTGGCTGGTTAAGCTTTCAGGCTTCTAGCAGCAGTTTAGCTGAGACCCATTCTAATATGAGGACACAGAGGCTTCCAGTCTGAGTAAACAAGACCAGCTGAGAAGTTGGCCAGGTGAGGTTAGCTGTGGCTTGTTCTGTCTCTCTGATCTTCCAGTGTTCACCTCAATAACTGGCCTCAGGTTTGATTTTTTTTTTTTTTTTTTGGTTTTTTGAGACAGGGTTTCTCTGTGTAACTTTGCGCCTTTCCTGGGACTCACTTGGTAGTCCAGGCTGGCCTCGAACTCACAGAGATCCGCCTGGCTCTGCCTCCCGAGTGCTGGATTAAAGGCGTGCGCCACCACCGCCCGGCTCAGGTTTGATTTTATTAATAAGACTCTCTAAGATTCATGCTACAAGGCAGTATACTGCAGTGTCTGAAAACACGAAGTTTGGAGCCATATGGCCTGGATTCTAGTTCTGATTCTGTTCTGTATTAGCTGGAATCCCTTGGGTAAGGCATTTGTTCTCCTGGGCATCAGTTTCCGGATCCGAGCTTCAGGATGATACCAGTACCTTCCTTATGAGGCAGTTGTGGAGAGAGAATCTGTGTTAGACTTTTAGGACAGGGTCCATTGTTGCTGCTTTACATTGTTTCAAATCCAAAGCTGCTCCAAAGTCTTTGTTGCAGGGCTCATAGGAGGAGCTACCCAAGTCATTGGAAATGCTAGGAAAAAATTTGGACAAGTTACAAAGCAGGGACTAGCTCGGAGATGTTGGACTCTAGGATGAGAGGCTTAGCTGCTTGGAATGAAGAGAAGATATGCTCAGGAAAGGAAGATTGGAGCCAATGCTGTGGTCACACCACTGCTGGTGCTGGGGTGGGGACTCATAGTGGAGCACCAATCGGGAATGCCCTTCCTCATATTAGCAAGAGATGGGAAAAACTTGGAAAGTGGTATAGGCGACAGCTTTGGATTCAAATCCCATATTAGTAGCTACTAATATAAAAGGTGTTCATGGAGCTTTTCCCTTCATAGACGAACTGTTTCCAATAGATCCTCTACCTCATTGTTTGTGAGATTGAATGAAATGTCTACAAGATACTGGCCTGCTGGGCTGCTGTTAGC